ATATGGGACATCCAGTCATGACACATGACCAAATATCCCCCATATTTCATAATTCCTACTAGTCATACAACTATTATCTTGAGGACTGTAACACCTATTTTGAGCAAATCATTGGAGTCCAGTTAATGCATCTCAAATGTGAATTTACTCCATAAGTTTTATATTGTTTAAGCGTTAAATACTGTTTTAACCACTTACTCTCAAAATTCTGCAACAAGCTTGATCCTTTCTTTAAAGTGTAATTTTGTTTAGTATCTAGTATCTATCTTTCTTTAAAGTGTGATTTCTTTAAAGTGTAATTTTGTTTAGTATCTAGCATTTACCTGTGGACTAATCAGAGGAGGCCTATCCAATTTGGGAATAAAGAGCATTGTAACAGCAGAAGTTTCAACGATGCCAGCATGTAAGTAGATCTCAGAGTATTCGGTTGTTAGCTCGCTGGAAAACTTGCCTCATCCACTTAATTTCTTTCTATGAATTTATCAAAGTGGGATGAATGGGAAGGTTTTGGTCCAAAGGGCCCTATGTGAATCTCAGGACATGGCTTGACACTCAATACTGCTGAGACAATTCTTGTATAGGAGGGGGAACCTCCATGTTATTAAATGGAAAGCAAACCTAGAAAGTTATGTTTACATTTGGAAGTATTAAAAAGATAAATATGTGAAAGTAAAAGACTACTTGCACAAATGAAGATTAAAAATAACAAGGTGGAATCCACTGTAACTACCGAAGTTGATTAAGATAGATTAAAAAATTTCCACAGACTTTGTACAAATTTTAAGCTGACAAAACTGTTCTAATGTGGGACACTGATCAATCACAAACTAAATTTTATATTTAAATTTATATAATGTCTAGATTTTTCACTGTTAAATCATAAGACAGGAATGTTCTGTGTATTCTTTCTATTTTTATTTATTTTAACAAAATAATTTGGAAGAAAAAAATCTTCGAAAAATGACCTTGATTCTTTAATTTACTTTTATTTTTCTTCACAGGTAAATTTCAGGTGATGATACAGAAGATGTAGAACATTTTCCAATCAGGGTATCTACCTTAATCTTTTGTGTATATGAACTCAATATCTTGATTTTGCTTTATTTTGTGTAGCTTGGTAAGTTATAGCTGGTTCCAGCAAAACTGCTATGTTATATAATAAAAGTCCATCAAAATAACACTATTCTCACCTCTTGGTATGAAATTAATTCTGTACCAAGATATTAATGTTCATTACAGTAAAAACCATCAGCTCAAAGCTTGCACCAAAGATTTGAATTGGTCAAACAGTACTTATGGAAGACCAGGGGCATGTTTTAAGAACTGAGCAAAAGATTGACCGCGACTAACTTGGAGTAAAAACCTGTTGTCTTTTGTGGCACCTAACATGACTGCCAGACTGTTCCCTTTCCTTTTTGGCTCCCAAGTTTAAGGCAGCAATTGCTATCAACACATGAACCCACAGCTTTCACTTACGATGTTCAGTGGGGCCTCAGTTCCTTGGCTATGGGAATGATACCAGGTGGCTGTAGAAAAGAGAAAACTTCCGTATAGTTAAGAAGTATTTCCCGCCTCCTGAAAATTCATAGCTGTTCCTTCTGCTTCAGGAGAATTTTTCAGCTAAGGTCAACTGCTACTGGACAAAGGAAATTTGTTTTAGTTTGTTATGCATAATTTCAATATTAACTTAATTGTTTTTAATTGCTAGCTACAACTCACTTCTGTAATGAGTATCCCCAGGAAGATGGTTAGGCCTGCAAGGAGCTGTAAAGGCACCACCAAGACTCTGAGGACATTGGGGTTTGCTAAATACTTCTTGTTACAAGATTTGCATAAGAATACTTATCTTGATCTAGGTAAGCATGAGAAGCTCTTGTTTAAACTACTTTTAATGAATTTTGCTTGAGTCTTTTCTGTTGATAAGTTCAGGCTTTATATATTTGAAATGAATGATGATAGAAAGTTGATGGTGTTGCTGAGGCTTACAGTCCTTAGGCAGAAGTTTAAGAGTGCCTTGTCTTGTGGTAGCGATTCATTTTGGTGCTTCTTTAAGAACAACGAATATAGGTTAAATAGAGAAACAAACATGTTAGCACAGCACCTCTCTCTGTTATAACTTTTTTTGTGTTGGAAGTAGGTTTTCTAGTTGCATGGTGGGCAAGAACAGCAGAAACTTCCCTAAGCTCCAGAGAGGTTGGAAGCCCATAAGGAGCCCATCCTTTTCTAGATGGTTGTTATAAGCTGACAAACTAAGGCTTATAAATGTGATAACCAGGGGTTTATTATACTTGAACTTAAGATGCAACCAAGTTCTGATCTTTTTAGGTACTGTTACTGTTAGTTCATAATAGTTCTAGATGATAACCTTACAGTTTGGGAAAGCCCCTAGAACAGAAGTTGGAGCAGAATACTGTCTCACTGCATACACAGAGAAAAGTATGTACTCTGCTTTGGTACTCCAGGAGGATCCAGCTTTTATAATCGTACAAAGATGACAGGAATGTTGTACCTTTCCTCTGTAATTTGCCTTATTATCTAAAATGGATGGACATTTTGACAGCAGATTTTACACCTCTGCAACTGAAAGACATTCAGTAATGACAAGATTGAATTATATCTCTAGAATGAAAGTCAAGCAGGTATTACAATTCATCTTCATTTTATACTTGACCAACTGTTAAGACAGTGCCACTAACTTTAAGACTCTACAACAATTTATTGATAACCAATTGGTCATGCACTTTAAGAAAATAAAGAAGAAAAAAAAAAAACAAGAGGGACTTAATTTGAAGCTTACTACTGGGAAATTACTGAATATAAATGTGCTGTACCAACACAATTTATTGTTCCCTGAGCTTTTTAGTTGTGGAATATAATGAGAACCCCAGAACTCACAAAACAGATGCTGAAAGTTGTGTTAAATGTATGAAGTCAAATAGGTGAGGCAACATGGTTGTCAAGACACCATAAAGAAAACACATTTGTTCCATTTAATAAAAGTTTCTCTTAACACAGCTGGAGTCAGTGCTCTTTAACTTTTACTTGTTTCTCCATTATTTTATTAAGAAATAATTAATTATTATCTGAAAAGTCATACCACCACTTCCTTTTACATTTTACTAAATGATTCAGTAACTCAGGACCTAAAGTTGAACTGCTTAGTACTTAACATTGATTTTTCCAGCTTCAGCTTTTAAGTAGTTCCCTACAGTCAGGCAGTTGTAAAACACTATGAAAAAAATGTTCAAGAAAACTCTTTTAAAAGAGACTTTATTGTTTAAAAAAAGCCCTCAACAGCTGAGTCTTAGATTAAAAAAAAAATCATTTGTGATTTAGGTTCACTTTAAACTTCCACTAAAAGTCTTTGCCTGAGGGCAGTGCTACTCAGCTTGTAGAAAACTCCAATGAAGAGTGTAGTCTTCAGAGATGGTAGCTTGAGAGATGACAGCTGACACTTTGACCATTTTCAGATCATGATGGTTTTTGGAGACACTGTTAAAGATCTCTTGTTACAGGTCAGCCTAAAATCAGCTTATTTGTGTAACTGTGCCACATGCATTCTCATGAGGATATTGTGAAGGGCTGGTATAGTACATGAGGTCTAAACCGGGCAGCATCTTGCTTTAACCCTGATAATGCAGGTTGCACTACAGACCACAAAGGTGGTGTTCCCAAAACAATCTAGGAGGGCTCATCAGCCAAATCGCGTTGATCGAAGTACCTAGTGGAGAGAAGCAAAGTAGGGTAAGAACCCTCTCATGCAATATTCCCTCTACTTTTTCTTGTTAGTATATTTACTTTCAAGCTCTTATTTTAGAGGATTTTCATATTTATGTCTCTATAGTTCAGAGCTCTCATTTCAAGAAAATGATGAGTTTTGCTTACCCTTAGGTTAATTTTAAGTCCTTTTAGCTTAGTATATTTGGTACCTTAACCCAGAGTCCCTTTTTTTTTTTTTTTGAGTTCTAAAAGAATCTAGGGGTAATCATGCATTTATTCTGAATATCCTTTATTGCTTTAGGTAGAATTTGCTTTACCTGCTAACTAAGCAGATCATCAAGTTCAAAGCTGATATTTGTTCTTCATTCCTGTTCTCCTGAAAGAGAAATAAATCAGAAAAGTTCATGCTATTTCTGTCCAAAAGAATAATGTAGCACCCTTTATTCTTGATCAGATTTAGCACATGAAAAACAAGTCCTCTGCACAATGGTAAATTAAAGCTTACCTCTAGTACTCTAACTTCAGAGCATCGTCTTGCCAGTTGTCGAATAAGTGAATGTGCTTCAGGTAGCAAAGGTTTTTCAAGGCATGCCAACAGTGCATAAAGCCATCTACCCTGTGTGGATTTAAATAAAAATAACAGATTTTTAATTATGCGTACTTCCTTGAACTTTATAGATCTCAAAATCAAAACTGCATTTAAGTACTACTGTCAGTACTGAAAGGTTCCGACAGCCAAATTAGGTACTGCTTAGTTGACTTCTGTCTCTAGATAAGCTTTTTGTGAGGTTTAAATATCCTGATATTATTGTTTGGAATACTTGCCAAGTTACCAATTAATTCTTCTAATATTAAAGTCAGCACACACACACACAAAAAAAACAAAAACAAAACAAAACAAAAAAACAACAATATCCAAAAGATTGTTGCTTAGCTATTAGTTGTTAACTTCACACATTGTGGAAGGCCATGTATTAAATCAGATCTCTCTGAAGCTCACTCTTTCAGATAAGCTTTAAATTAGTTCTGTAGCACTGAGAAAAGCTTTTTTGCTTTCCACTTCACCAATGTTTGTGGCTTTATAAACCTAACTTTTGCTACTAGCATAACTTACTAATTAGTTAAAATGTCTAATGCTTGCACTGGCTTTTCTCGTAGGAAAGAAGAATCTTCTCTCCTGTAGGAAACTACAGGAACTAAGATTAAACATACACATGCTCCACAGTCACCAAGAAATCTGTCCTATAAAGAACAGATTATGAAAGGCCTTTACATAACTAAAATGTAGTGCAACTTTGTTAAGTATTTATAGGAATAATCCTGTATTACTCTAATTTTGTGGTACAAAATTAGACAATTGGTCCCCTTGTCTTTTGTAGATAGCCAACAATACATAACTATTTAGGGGAGTTATGGCAAAACTCCGCATTAATGTGTAATTTCTTATTATCTGTTGCCACATTAACACAGTGAAGGTCTTTGGTCAGTGCTACATAAGTAAAATCAGAACTTGTTTCTGCCTGCAGATTACCATGCATCTCCAAACTGAGAGGCAAATGTCAGTATATGAAACTTGTAGCACCCAGAAAGCTTTAACTTCTTTGAACAAAAGCTGCTCTGGTCTGATAGTTTTCTCTCTCCATGCTCACCTAAACTTGCAGATGGAGTTAGCAGGGGAAGAAACAGAGGAGGACTATTAACAGTACCTAGTAGATCTGTATCTGCTGCATTTGTAATTAACCTTCCAAAAATGCTCTGAATACCATTTCTAGTATCTGATCAAGTTTTTAAAGTGACTGAATTACAGTACATACATTTGGAATTTACCCCTTGCTTAATGTGTTCATGTGCAAATAGAATAAATCGAGCATTACCAGTTCTGGAGTAAATTTTTTCTCTCCAAACCAGTTTATCAGGTACTCCAAGACACTGGTTACTGTTGCCTTCAAAAGAGGAAGAGAAACAGACTATGCAATACCTGCAAAAACTTGCCTTGTTGTCCTTTTATCTAAATGATTTTGTATATTCAAAAATTGCAATTGCTTCTTAAACAATGTTGGCATTTCTACTCCACTGTGTTTCTACATAGTGCTTTATACAAGTTGAAGTTATATACAAGGGCAAATTAAGTGTCAAAGCAGCAGTTCCAAGGAAGAACTTAATATAAAAGAAAGCCATTTTCTGTGTTAATAGAACTTTAGACTAGACAGGCATATTATGAAAGAGATTTACCTTCCTATTGATTGTTTGCTTACGTATAAAAGTAACTACTAGAAAACACAGTAGTAAGAAAGATAAATCTGATTCTTCTATTCTTGCTACATATGTAGAAGTTTCACAATCAAACTGAAAGATTGCTCTTAAAACACCAAAAGAGAAATCTTAAATACTTCAAAACACATAATTGGGCAAGAAATAAGAGATTAAGGTAAGTATTCTATAAAGAAATCAGAAAAAGTAAATATAGTAAGTGTTAATCAGTAAAGACATTTGTAATTAAATTTGAGATAATGGTTGGGTAATCCTTGTAAGCATAAACTGAATAGCAGTTATAATAAACATAATAAAAACCTCTAAAACAGAACAAAACAGTTCTGCAACAGATGGAACATGAGAAGTAATAATTTATGCAAAGATGCTGTACTATAAGAAGTTGGCTTACCTGATTCATTCTGCTTACAATACTTAGCAAAGGAGGAAACCCCATCTAGAAAAAAAAAAGGTCGGAAAACTCAGCATCAGAAACATACTTTTGGTTTGATTTAGAATTTGCTAATATTTTAATGGGATGTTCAGGAATTTGTTGTGATGTTCATTAAAAATCCTCCAAGTTCAAGATAAGGTCAAGTTTGACATCAAAGATTTTTGTCTTAAACATAGCAGAAATAGCATGCTTTAAAAAAATGAGTGAAGGACATGCTATAGAATAGCAAGTACACAGGGAAAAAACATTGCCACCATTTAACAAGGTTCTACAGCAGACTATGCAAAAAGCTTTTTCTTCAGTTAGCAACTCAAAATTCTGCTTTTGCTGGTAACTGATTAAGGAATTGTTCAATTTTCTGACAGAAGAAATATAGACTTATTCCCAGCTTCACTCAGCTCCCACTTTCAAGGCAAGAATAGAAAGAGACTCTAAGTGCTCGCCAGAGAGCCTACTTTCAATTCAGTACAAAATGGTAACAAATAGTAGGAGTTACTCATGAAAAACGGTGGCAGAAAATTAGACAGAAGACCTATACCCACCTTTATATAATCAATTCCTAGATTTTCATTATCAGATAATGTATCTATTTCTGAGTATAATCTTTCACCCAGGCAAAACTTTTTCCAGCCTTCTTCATCCTCTGATTTTGGCTGAAGTAAATAAAAATAAGTAAAAATTGTGAAATATTGCTGGCTTAAGGACACTTAAAAGCAGCTTTGATACTATTCAGAAATAGTATCAAATGAATTTAACTACTGGAAAAAATGCAGAAGTTTTGATAAGTTTACTTACCATAGTAACATTGCTGTCCAAATGTTGCGACCGCCAGTGATTTCTGTGCTTGTTCACATTCTGAGGAATTAGAAGAGTGCCTAATCATAGTTTAGTTTTTGCAGTATTTTTAGACTAGCCAAAATCATTCTTATTTGCTTTACTTTTGTTTCATAACTATTAAGATGACATCCCATATTAAAAAGGCTGCAAGTCTCTAAAACTACATTTTGCCATGCCCTCTATATCTAACTTGCTGATACTGTTCTTTTTTGAAATAATGTTAAAGATGAAGGAATTTTTCAGTCTACAAAGCTTTGAGTAGAACTAATAATCTCTAATAAATCTTTTGGTATCCTGAGCTTAAGAGCAAAATAACTGAGTTAGTCCAAAAGCACATGTAAGGCCAGTACTGTTTCCAACACTGGCCTATGTCACATACCTACAGAACTGTTAGAAAGAAGGAAAGCCCACTTTCCTGGTGTATTTCTTTTACCTGCAGTGGATTCCATATAAGACACAAAGGGGCTTTATTGATAGTTTCCTGTATTGAGGTATAAACCTTTGGTAATGAAAGTTTTATTTGTTTTCATTCCAGTTACTTAATAAGTAATAGGTTTTCATTCCAGTTACTTTATAAGTAATAGCTACTAAATTGACCACTAAAATTACTATTAGCCCGTAATACTATAAATAAGAGGATATGCTTCTCTAGCATCATGTTTGAACAAGTGACTTGATATTCTTTTTGCTCTTACGTAGTTTTTTAGGATATTCTCATACTGCTCCATGTTAACTGTCATAGATGGAGAGGATGAAATTAATTAATGTGTGAAAGAATATCTGTACAATGATAGATGGAAATTTCTTCTAAACTCTCAGATTATGTCTGACAATATGTTTGTGATACCATGTAGGAACCGGGGCTAGCTACAGCAGTTCTGCTAAGTTCTGCTACAGCAGCTTCAGTGCAATAGATTATGATATGAGTTAATTTAGGTACCTCTGAAATGTCATACCAATGCACTGAATGTGTCCTCAGCTGTATTGGATCTTTCCTTTTTTTTTTTCTCCTCCATTTTTTTTTCATTTCACAGTGAAATTTAACTGTGAACTGTGGATAGAGAGTGACTGATCAATTCTCCATTTTAGTTCTATCATTTAAAGGCAAGATATAAATGTGGTAGGAAAGACTTAAGTCTGTGCACGTTACAACCCTACAAATACATTTTACCAAATCAGTAATTCTCTCCATAATGGATCCCTGCAGTGTCACCAGGATGCTCAAAAACAGTGTATTCCATCTACATGAATCTTGTTGTGGTTTAGAATCTTTTTCAGTTATTGATGAGTTCTAAGTTTTAATATAACTGCATAACATCAAGATTTTTGTCCTCCCTCAACTATGCCATTTAATTTACATATTTTTGCTATAGTTGAATTAATTTTAACCCATCTATCAACACTTTTGAAAGAGTTTCATCAAAAGTTTAAAGCTACAAAGTTGCACGCTCATTTTTAAGTGTTAAAATAGTTACCTATTATAGAATATTATAACTTTATGAAGGATAGGATATAGGAAGGATAGGATATCCTCCATAAAGCAAAGCTGTTCTATCTAGACAATGCAAGCTGAGAATATCTCCCTGCACCATTTTGTACCTGACGAACAGCTGAGAAATTGGCCACTTGCTGCTGTTGCCATTTGAGAGATGGAGAGTATCCTTCAGGAGCAGGCTGACATCCAGAAATCTAAGGAAACATTGGCAATAATTATAATGTAAAGAAAGCTTATTAAAAAAAAAAGTCTTTAAGAGCTAGAGAATCAGCAAATATTTACTATCAGTATTTAGTAAGAAATACTTCTAGAAAAGAATCTTTCTACAAATATTTAAGAGTGGTAGTACAAAGAGATGAGCCAAATGCAGAGAATGGTCACAAGAGTGACATAGTCATATATGCCAGAGAACATTAAAAAAGTACTTTTTAGAAACTTTTTTTGAGCAGTCCAATAGTAAAATGTCAGATCATGCAATTTCTGATAGAGAAAGACAAACTGTTGCTTGAACTATTTGGAAGTGGGGAAATTAAGAGAAAAAACAAGACTTTCAGAACAGAAAAAGACTGCTTGAGCAGCTAAAAAAAAATGCAGTAAAATATCCTACCAAAAAGGGAAGTAGTAGTTTTGGAATTTCATCTAATGTTAGTAAAGCTTAGCTGTCTTTATTATACTTACTTTTAACACTATATATAGTGCGTATATATATATAGAATATATACTATATATTATATAGTGTTAAAAGCATAATAATATACACACACATATATAAAGCTATGAGTATCTTTTTCCCAAAACTTATACAAGTTTTATGAAAAAGTGTTAGTAAAGCTTAATGCAATATTTAATTTCCCCAGGCAGTAAAGCACTACTGTATATGAAATAGTATAGATAATATCAATTTAAAACAGCTATAAAGATTGATGTCATCCAACAGTTCAACAATTGTCTCTTCAAACCTACGGGTTTCACTGAATTCTGCAGGTGCTTTTATTATCCTGCATCTTTTTAATTATCCTATTATCCTAGATTAACATTATCTACTGTTTTATTTAGGCCAACTATTCCAAACAATTAATATAGAAATCTTAGTATTAACATCTTTTCTGCTATTTTTTCTCAAAGCCTCTTAGGTGCAACACCTCTCAGACTTACTGAAATGCTTACTGTCTGTTTCTTCCTCAATTTTTTGGGGTCTATTTGTGCCACAACCACATCTGGGCATTGAGCTGCTTCGAGCCTACCAAACAAAAGCAAACGGTTACACTTTACTCCTGTATTATACATGCCAAATGTCTCTGAAGTACGGCACCTGTGCAACCTCTAAAGCACGATTGAAAACAACGGAACTGTCTACACCAGCAGTTCTTAGGGAAGGCAAAATTCGAGATATTTTTCATGTATCACAGGGGTGGGTGCTCTCCGTTTGCAGACCCTGGCTCGAGGCTCGCGCCGGGTGCGAGGAGCCTCGCGGGGAGCGTGATGAGTTTTTCCGTCCCTCTGTCGTCCCCCGCTACCGGCCCGGGCTCCGTCCCGTCCCTCCCCGCGGCGCTCACTGCACACGCCGGAGATACTCCTGCGGTGTCCGGGGAGGCACCGTGGGGTCGAAGTCCTCGGGCAGGTCACAGTCGCCCACGGGCAGCAACCGCGGCATCAGCTCCTCCAGCGCCGACTCCATCCCGGCGACGCGCCACTGCCGGCCGCTGCGCATGCGCGAGCGCCGCGCGCTGCTCTCGCGAGACTGGCTGCTCGTGGCGCCAGAGGCGCGCTCCGGGCGCCATGTTGGTGGTTGCTTGCGTGGCTTCTCGCCACGTCGGAGCGGAGCAAATAAAGAGCAGGAGGATAAAGCATTTGAATGCTGTATTAAAAAGTTACTGATAGGGAAAATGCCTATCTATATATTTGTTTCTCCCAGAAGTTCTGTGGTGTGCATCTGTTTCGTCTGTTCGATACCACTTACCATCCATACAGTAGGGCTAAACTATTCTGACACAGTTTTTCATTTTTTTTCTTCCTTTACAAGACTGTATTTCAGAAGTTCTGAACAAACACCGACACTAACTCCGCCTCCCCACTGACTTGTATTTGTTTTAAGCTGCTTCCAGAACCACTTACGTGTAGCAAGGTGTTTTAACTTGGCAACCTGGATCTAACTTCCTAGTTGAGTCTGCGACAAGCACAGTCATTGCTTGAAACAAGACTTGCTTAGCTGAAACCGAAATGATAATTCTGGAAAGGTTGACCAGTGGTGTGGACAAAAATTCAGGTAAGTTGAGCTGAAAAAAAAAAAAAAAAACTTTTGTAATATTTAGAACTTCCCTTTGGCATAAAGTCAAAAACTATCAACAGAAAGACATTCTACAGATATAAATATATTTTAAATATAAAATATTCTTTAGGTGGTTTGCTGGTACAATCCTACTACACTTTTAAAACTGAATATTTTGAATTATTACAGGTCATCTTCCTAGTATAACAAAATTGATCCTAACAAGTCTGACCAACAGTGCTGATGTGGTATCTGTCAAAATGGACTCAGTGGAGGAAAAAAAGAAGAAACTGGAAGATAAAAGAAATATTCTTCCTGCTTCTTGACTGCCTCATCATCATGGAAGAGTACTTTTCCAAAGGAAAGGTGAGCTGCTGTCAATGGATGTGCATTTTTGACTTAAGCTAAAAACCCTTTAGTAAGAAAATAAAATGCTATTACTATGCTTTGTAATTTTGGGAGATAAGAGGAAATAATATTTTCTTGTAATCAGTACCTATTCTGTAAGGGCCCCATTTTCTGTTCTATTTTTCTGTTACCCATTGCTTTTCTCTGTGGTATGGACCAACAGAGCATCTCCATGATATTTCTTAAAGAAAGTTTAGGAAACTGGATCGAGTAGTTATGAAATTTAATTCTGTTAATGACTGATTTAAAAAAAATACCATATGCCTTTTATTTTTATGGAACTTATGGAATACGAAGCTTTCCAGGTTTTCCTTCTTGCCTTTTAAGCTTTTTTCCTCATGTTGTCTATAGAGGTCATGTTGCAATTCTGGTTTTGGAACTTGCTTCTCATTGAGTGCTTTTGAAATTATAATGCTGAACTGCTTGCTGAGCATTTGCTTGAAGTCCACCCTTTATCACAAACTGAGCAGGCTGCATGTCCTTGACAGCCTCCAGCAGTACTCCCACAGCTGGCAGCGAGAGAACAGAAGTTTTTAAATCTTTCCCTTTAAACATGCTTTTGTTTATATGCTCATATTCTTAGCCCTTAAAGAGGAGGGGCAAACAATACTGGAGATAATAAGGCACAGAAATTCTGTCATAATCATATTCAACATCTCTCAGATGAGCATTAAGATAATTTGGTCATTTATGTTTGGCTAGTGGTAACTGCATATTTTCAGAGTTGCAGTGAAGGACATAATAGACCAGAGACTGTTTCCCACTCCTCTGCCTTGTCTAGACCAGTTGCAGTAAGACTTATCACAAAAGACAGAGGTTAATGTTTTGTTTTAGCTTTTTGTGCCTGGCTTGTTTAATTCTCAAGTGCCTCCAACTCTAAGTGTATCACCTAACTTGACTTAGAAGAAAAAAAGAGAGGGGAAAAAATCACTCTAACCAAAGGCTGAATAAAACTCCAGTTAGGGATAGGTGGAAGTTGCCATGCAGACAGTAAATAAACATGCATTACATTTCTAAGCGTTTCTAAATATGTGGAAAAAAAAATGTGTGGCATCAGGTTAAAAAAACACCAGGAGTACGTGTTGACTATTTCTTTCTTGTGAAGTCTGAGGCAATATGTGAACAGTCTTCCAGAATAAAAAGTTGCTTTAAGAACATGTGCTGGAAGGCAAATTGGAGGACTCCCAAGGCACTGTTTTGGCTTTCTTGGTCACGAGGATTTATCTGAAATAGACTCCAACAAATATGATGATGATGATAACAGCGGTGCGTGCAGAGGGGATTCCTGGAGGCTCGGGACGCGCAGTATCCCGGCATCCAGCGCCCTTCCCTCAGGGATAGGGGCAGCGCGGCGGGACTGCGCGCGTGCAGAGGCGGGGCAGGCACCGCTCCCTCTAGCGGTCGGGGAACGTTATTCTCCAAACGCTCTTAGATCAAGATAAACACTGAAAAATCTGAAATCTAACAGGGCATGGGGTGAGGAAAAAAAAAAA